TGGACACCCACCACCATCCACAGGTGACACAGTCACTGCTGGTGTGCTGGTGTTCAACCAGCAGCATCCATGGGTGACACCATTACTATTCATGTCAAACCAGCACCATCCATGGGTGACACAGCCCGCCTGGCCAGAGGCTGCTGCCACTTCAGCAAGTTCGGAATGTGCTGGGTAAGGTTCACAAAGGGTAAATGTAAAGAGTGAAACAAACAAAAGCCCCAGTGTTGTGGGAAATTACAACCAAGGACTCACAGGAAAAGCTTTCAATGCAATAAACAAAATAAATTGTAATAAATAAAACCTCCACCAAGCCACAGACTGCAATGGACAGCTGAAGCCATCACTGCAGTGTGATGAGCAAAGGTCCGGATCAAACTCTGAACTGAGCATTGCAGTGTCTGTGTGCTGAGGGAAAATGACCTCCCTGCAGGAGCTAACAAACCGAAGGGACTAACAGCTCATCCCACCCTGCAGCTCTGGGGAAGGATCCCTGGACATGAAGGACAATCTGCATTGGCAGAAGAAATTCAAATCAGTACGTGCTGACCCTGCAAAACCTCTCTCCCTTCAAAGGCCTCCTCTCATTATAGGCACTGGCATTATCCCCAGGAGTACAGACAACTCCAGGGAGTAAGCACTGCTGAGGTGGGCCTAGAAATTATTAAGGTACACTCCAGCACTTCCCTGGGACTCGGGAGGGGCTTTCCTTCTCTTCAGCCTCCTCATGGACACTGAGGACTGCACCTGTGGCACTTGACCACCTGCACCACAGAGTTTGGCTTCTGTTTTCATTACCTGCCTCCCACTCAGCCTTGCCCTGCCAGCAGGTCAGGGCAGCATCATAGCCCAGCCCAGAGGAACAGCCAGACCCCTCCTGTCCCTGCCCTGTCCCCTCACTGCCCACACCCACTGATCATCATCCCCAGGTTCAAGTTTCTCTTACCAGGGGACTTTTTTTCTCCCCGTAAACTGCTTTTTCCCCCTTCACAGTCTTCCTGGTTTTGACAGTTTCCCCCGTGGTTTGGGCCCCCAAAGGCTTCAGTCCCATGCACGTTGCTTGCCTGGCTGGCCAGGGAGTCACACACTCACCACTAGCCCCAGGGCTGGCAGGGGCCTCATAACAAGCCCTCCAGGCTGGTGCAGCAGCTCCCAACACCCAGGGGTCCAGCCCAGCCACGACATCCCAAGACATGGCATTCAACCACAAGGCAGGAGGTCTCTGCTGGCAGGAGGGATGGGAGGCACAGGCAGGACAGCAGGACCACAAGGGCAGAGCAGGCAAATGTCTGATTCCACCATAAGAAAACAGAGCAGCAGGATGCCCCAATTATTGTGCTGCATGAATACAGCACGAGGTCATGGGCAGAACTCAGCTGGGGACAGAGCTGTGGACCTCACACCTGACCACGCTCAGCAGAGCTGGTACCAGCTGCAGTTCTGGTGCACGGCGTTTAAAGATGGGGAGCCAAACCAAAGGGGAGAAAACCTTTACAATCCCTCCCAGCAAGCGCTTGGAGTAGATTCCCTGGAAGCCAGACAGTCTCTCTCAACAAGAGGAGATGGCAGAGGACCCCAGCAGCACCTACTCAGTCTTGGGGTCCCCTTTGAGTGCCAACCACCTGCTGTGCACCTCCCAAGGCACCTCTGCCCACAGCCCTGCCTGTCCCTGCCCAGCTGTGTCCTGCTGGGAAAACCCAGTTCATGGGCCTGGCGCAGAGGGAAGGCACAACATGCAGAAATACTGCCTGTACTAATACTCCTCACTCCTGATTTAGGGATGCTTGGATTCCCTGGTCTCCATCCCCCCAGATGTGTCATTGACATGGCTAGCTTGTATCTGTGTTTCCCAGCCCATGTCCATGTTCCCCAGCCAGTACCCATGTTTCCCAGCCCGTGTCCATGTTTCCCAGCCCACGCCAGGCAGGGACAGCCCCAGCAGAGGTGTCCAGCACCAGCACCAGCCTGTGCCTGTGCACACACAGCACCACATATTAGACTCTCGGAGCAAACTGTGTCTGCAAAGAAACCCCAGCTGGGCTCAGTGCTGCTAATGCTCATGCCCTGCCCTTACACCAACACATGTTGGGTGGAATAAGGTTTGAGGACAGCCCAGAGGAGAAGGACTTGGGGGTAGGGGTGGACCAGAAGTTTAACATGAGCCATCAATGTGCACTTGCAGCCCAGAAAGCC